AAAAGATTTATCACAAGAACGTATTAAGAGGTTTTCAAGATCATTGCCGAAAATGCCTTCAGACAAGGGTATTAGACCCCTCATAGTTATAGTCAATTCTGTAGTTGTACATGTGAAAACAGTTACAAAAAGCACTGAGCCCATTACTTCCAGGAATTGGGGATCTGGAGACCATTTAAATGCAACAAACAAAATAAAGGGGATTGGCAACAGTAAAGTCACCAACTTCTAATCTTCTCATGCAAAGATGATCAATAAGATAAAAAATTAAATAGTCATCACTTACCATAATAATAATTTCAATACTGAAAACATTTGATCACTCCTCCCCCATAAATTCGATTTGGAAACTGTTATTAGCATAAAGGAGAGACAGTTCCCAAACCAGCACATGCAGATCCTCTAGTCCCTAGTGTCTTCATTCAGCTATACATTCACAGCATCCTTTCTGCGGACTGCTACCAACGCACTCACCGGTGTTGGGGACACACTCTGACTCAGGAAGCCGAGGCTAAGAAAACAGGAATGTGTTCCCTGAGATTACCCAGCTAATGAATGGCAAAGCCGGAGTGAAAGTTCCAGACCCCTAACTTCGGGCCCTCAAAGCAGGAATCCCCAGATTGCGAGGGGAGATGCAAAGAATCAAAAGTATGTACTTTGATAAGTAGTTGCTGAAGAGGTGAGGAGGATGGGTTCCGTAGTCTGGGGTGGAGACCGTGGAATGGCACCCAGGACGTGGGGAGCCTTGCAGGTGTGGGGCGCAGTCCCAGGCAGCAGTAACTGATGGGTCGGGTCGTGGGAGGTGCCAAGAGCCTGTGCAGAAACTGGAGTTGGAGGGACAGCTGAAGAGCAGAACCGCGCAGGCCCAGGGAAGCTCCGAGGGTCTGCTCTGTTCCTCTCTGCAGTGACCCCTGAGCCCCGCAGCTTCCTGATGCCAAGGAGAGGGGAGTGTGGTCCTCACCTGTGTGCGGGCTGCTCCAGGAGCCCCCGAGAGAGACGACCCTGTGGTCTCCCACTCAGCAGTGCCTCGGCATGAGGAGGGACACTCAGCCCCCCAGGTGGAGATGCTGCCCCCCAGAAAGGGACTGCCAACCCTGGGGTGGGGCTTGCTAACAGGGCCAGGATCACCCTCCCTCCTGCTCCCACGATGGGGAGCAGCTGCCTGGGGGCGACACTTCCCTCTCCCCTGAAGCCTTGTCCCTTCTACTTGTTTTGAAAATCCATCCTACCACCTGCAGCACCAGGGTTACCCATCCTGCCCACTTCACCTGGAGATTTGGGGACTGGAGTTCACCGTAGCAGGTCAGGGGAGCCCTGAGCACTGGGAGGCACACCTTCAGGGAACGGGGAATGCCACCCATGCTTTTGCCTTGAACCTGAGGTCCCGAAGTCAACCGCTTAGTTGGCCATTCTACCCCTTTATAACACTTGCCCTGGAAAGGTTGTGTCTGCTTAGCTATTCACTCAGGGTTTCAGGGAAGAGAAGAGACTTAACCCTTGGGGGCCAGCATCGCTGGTGGGGGTCACCCTTGGATGCTGGCTGCAGGTGGACAGGCTGGCTGGGTGACGGCCCATGTTCCGCACGCGCGGGGCTGTGGAGGGTTGGGGAGGGTACCAGGATCACGGCACGGGCAGCCCACAAAGCTGCTGCCCAAAAGGAGAAACAGGGAAAATACACTTCAGCCATTTAGAAAGAAATTATTTTTAAAAAGCCAAAATAATGCACTTTTAGAATTCTCCCATCTGTTTGGTTTATTCATTTGAAATGACTGTGGCTTCATTCTTCAGAGGGGAAGCAGATGAAGAGAGGGCAATGCAGGCCTTGGGCCGGGGTCTCCCCAGTCCCGTGCAGGGGGGCTCAGCAGATAAAACCCCCGCAGGAACAGCTCATGGTGGTGACTGAGGCAGAGAGCCTGGGGCCTGGGAAAGACCAGTTATAGCATTTTAATACAGGAATGTTCCTGTTTCAAGTGCCGATACTAAATATAGCCCCAAATAAAAGTCCATGTCTAACAACACACAATGTAAGAATGATTTTTTTTTCAAGCATAAAAGGACCTTGGAGGATGGTTACTTTCCTCATTAATTTTTCAGAAGACGCAGCTGGGCAGGGAAGCTCCCCAAGAGGATGTGAGTAAAGGCAGAATTTTTGGCATAAGAAGGGCTTTAAATGAGTGCCAACTCCCCTTGCCCTATTTCAAATCCTCTTCCAGGTCAGGGTTGAGCCAGGAGGACCTGGCTACTTGTCAGCACTCAGGAAGAGGTGGAATGATTTGCACTGAGCTTACGTGTGTGTTAAGTGCTGCTTTCTCAGCCAGCAAGTTGGATTCGCTCTCCTGGAGCGCCCTCCAAGATCGGCATCCAGCCGATGTGCTCCATGAGAACTTTTCCTAAAAGTAGAGTTTATATTAGCCTACACTCATCTGAATTATCTCTCTCCCGAAATGGTAACTACTAAATTAATAAAGATGTTTTTAACCTACCCACCCCACTTCTCAGAGCTGATCAATAATTAGCAGTCAGTGATTTGGGTCAGGAGGTGTTTTGAGTAAAGCACTTCACAGCCTTACTGTTTCCACGAGCCTTAAGCTGGAAACAACCTGGATGTCCAAGCTGGGACTCCCCTGGCTTATGTGGTATCCAGGAAGAAATGGGAAAAAGGTGTGCCCTCTGGGCAGCCAGTGCCCAGGCTCATGGCCTGCCAAGCACCCCTTCCTCCAAGAAGACCCAGCCCCAGCCAGGATGCCTGGCTTGGCAAGTTCTGTGTAAGCTGAATTCCTCTCTCATGGATCCCTCTACTGGGGACTCTTGTGCAGTGAACAACCTAACAGCCACACCTGGAAATGCTGTCCAACCACAGAGACACAAGTATTAGGGTAAATTCACTGGGTGGAATATTATACAGCTATGAAAAATCAGGTTGTAGGTGAATGTTTATTGAGAAAAGCAATGCTTTTAAGGTAACGCTGCAAAATAAGGCAGCAGACCACAGGGTAAAATGTAATTACAAACACTGGCACCTTGAAGAAAGACAGAAAAGGTATAAGCCAAAATTTTAACCATCCTCATCCTAGGACACGAATTTTTTCTTAGCAATCTCATATTTTAAAGCTTCTGTGTGTATAAGTTTTGTAATTAAAACAAACGCCAGTCCGTTCTCATTGTTCACGGTAGCTATGTTCTGTAAAGCACCACAAACACGGAATTCGTGGATACGGAGCCAAAGCTCCCAGAGGAGACACAGGGCTGGGCTCCTGTGAGCCTCCTTCATGGCGTTGGTAACAACTGATCAATACGTAACCTTGTTTTATGTGCGTTTCTGGATAAAGACACTTCAATTTATATTTCTTTTTTTTTTTTAAGATTTTATTTATTTATTTATTTGAGAGAGAGAATGAGAGAGAGCGAGCATGAAGGGGGGAGGGTCAGAGGGAGAAGCAGGCTCCCCGCCGAGCAGGGAGCCCGACGTGGGACTCGATCCTGGGACTCCAGGATCATGACCTGAGCCGAAGGCAGCCGCTCAACCGACTGAGCCACCCAGGCGCCCCTTTAATTTATATTTCTTATCCATAATTGATTACATGCAGTATTTCTTTATAATAAAACACTGGCCAAGAGGCTTTAATGTCTTCAGGACCATGGGTAATAGGACCATAAATTTCTCTGGCTTGCCGCCTCACACAATGCTCCTGCTACTACATTTTCTCAACTCGATCAGCATCTTACGAATCCGCAAGTCTAGCTGCTCTTCCATCTTTTTTATAGCTTCCTCGGGCACTGACAGTGGACGTTACCTCGGCACTTTCTGCAGCAGTTCACGTGCAGATGAGTGAGGTCCTCTGCATGCACTGAACTATTCACTCTGAGCCCTGGACTCACCGAGCACACGCATCTTGTCCTGAACATATCACAGCTTCCTGGGGCCTGGGAACACGGATAGCACTTCTGGGCTACACTTGGGGGCCATTTTCAACAGTGAAATCACCAACAAGAGCACGAAAAAGCAAAAGACACGGCACTAAATGGACCCCGAGGGGGACACGTGCCCACAGCTCGAGAGCTGGGACCTGGGGAGGAGCATCCCTGGTTCCTCCTCAACTGGGAACGGGGGCTCTGTGCATGCCCAGAAATGACCGCAAAACACCGCGGGTATTGATTTTGGAGTTACAAAGAAATTTTAGCGAGAAAGTGATTTTGCAAAGATGAAATCAGCAGATAAAGAGGTTCAGCAGTAATTAAAAATGAACAACTCGTGTTTTCAGTGCATCTGTATCAAGCAAAGTCATTTTGATGACATTTCAGGTCTTCTAGATAAATCACGCGGATCCAAATTCGCTAAATTACCATTTTTTGAACGTAGGGCTGGCATGCCGTCCATGAGGGAATCATAATCCATAAAAGTTAATGACATTTAATATGTTTTATGTTAGAGAGCAGTAATTTCCAATCAAAATCATTATGTCTAGGTTTTATTTTTCTGCGTGGAATTTTATGCATAAAGCAATGAATCGAAGCAAGATGTGCTGAAATCCATGTGCAGCCCTGGTGACAGAGGGGGCCTCTGGCAAGAAGGCCAGGGTTACTCTGGGGAGTTCCGCACTTGGGGGGGGGGGATCGTATTTCACTTCCCTTGGCTTGAGCCCCACCCAGCACCTGGGAAAATAGACCCCCTCCACCCCACCAGGCAGCCCTGCCTGCCAGCACAGCTTCAGAAAGAGATTTAATTTAATTAACAGAAAACAGCATCAATAAACATTAGCTCAGCAAGGCTCTCATGGCGACTCCAGGGCCGCAAGCTCAAGCTATTTTAGAACACACCCTCTGTCTTGGCAGAGCTCCCCGACTTGGTGCCTCTCTTGCGTGGCCCTCTGGAAACCTCCATCATCCCCTGAGAGGCAGACACCGTGGATGCCTCCAGCCTGCCCTCTGTTCTGTCACATGCTGGAGTCACCACCTCCTTGCAAGGCAGAGCACTGCTCCCCGTGGCACCATCCCAGGCAGGCGCAGGGCTGGGGCACGGGGAAGGGCGGGGGGACACGTCAGCGCGCACAGCCTTCTCCTCTTCAGCCTTCCTCCCCCGGGGTGCTTGCACTGTCTGCATTTAGGAGGGGCTGACAAAATGGGGAGTCTTCAGCAACACCCCAGGTATAGAGAGGAAGGTATCAACATTTGTGAGCAGAATGGTTTTTGCAGATCCTGCATCACTATAATAAGATTGATGGCTGCTGTAGCTTAGGGGGGTGGTGGTGATGAGAGAAAGGAGAGGTTTCACTAGGCTACCTGCTCCAGAGGGGACAACAGGGACCTGGCAGGGAGTCTGCCTGGGACCAGCTGAGGGAAGTGCAGGAACACTGTTCCTTATAAAAAGGTTGAGATAGAGTCTGGCCTGCTCAAGTGACCAAGACGCTGCAACCAAGCAAGAAAAGGTAAGAAGATGCTCTGAGAACAAAAGGGCATCGTGTTTGTGTGAGGCTCATTGTTGGCAAATAGGATTCTGTGTGGGGAAGCTGGGAGTGAGTCTTCCAGCCTCATTATTGCTTTTTAATAGTAATTGCAGTGTTATTCCCTTTAACAGTTGACATTGGCACACACGAATGATTGTAATATATAAGAAAAAACATTATAAGAAAAGCCACAAAAGAGATTTAGCAACTGCATTTCTGTGCCTATTTAAACAGCTTTAATGTGTGATTCCTTTGGCTCTCGTAGACACCAAAGTGTTTTGAAGGCAATATTCGGGGTTGCCAGTAGGAAAATGGGTTCCAGGAATAACAAGGCAAATGAATGTGACACATCGATGCACGTTGGAAATGGAACTTGGCAAGTTCATGGGTGAGGGGAGGTGGGCAGATGATCACCCTTCACTTTTCCTGGGAGCCAAGAAGATCCAAGTCTTCCTAAGCCACGCTAAGTAGGTTGCCCACGTGGTGGGACATTGCCAGGAGGACAGCACCCCAGAGCCACTTCCCGATGAAAATGGCTGAGAGTTGGTTGGTGTGAAGGGGGCCTACCTGTTCTAGAAGGAGGTTCTATTCAATTCGAGAGCAGGGTTAACATGTCTATCGGCGTGTCCCTCTCCTTTTAACTCAAAAAGCTTTACGAAGACACCGAAACAACTTCCTGGTGACTGACTCACTAAGAAAGGGACTAAATATATGCGTATATACACATGTATGATATATGTGTTGTGTATACTATATATACATATGCATGTACATATGCTTAGCTCTGTTCTCTCAGACTGGGCTTTACATGGTTGTTCACTGTCTGTTGTCTGCTTCCATCTTCAGGATATAATTGCTATTTCTAGAAGAGACCTTGTATACTGTGTTCACTAATGAAGCTCCAGGGCATAGGCTGTAAACTGGATGCTCGTGTCCCTCCAGAATTCACTCCTGGAAATCTGGTATTTGAAGTTGGGGCCTTCAGGAGGTGATTTGGTCAGGAGGTCAAAGCCCTCAAGAATGGGGCCAGCTCCCCTTATAAAGGAGGCCCCGGAGAGCTCCCTTGCCCTTCCTTCCATGTGAGGACACAGGGAGAAGGCAGCTTGCTGTGAACCAGGTGGCAGAACCTCACCAGACACCTGATCAGCTGGTGCCTTGATCTCAGACTTCCAGCCTCCAAAATGGTAAGAAATAAATTTCTATTGTCTATAAGCCACTGGCTGACGTTACTTTTGTTCCAGCAGCCCAAACAGACTAAGACAACATAGAACAATGCCTGGTGCACAGCAGATGATCAGTAATGTTTGTTGAATAAATGAATGGACAGAGGAATGACAGTTGGAGTTGACGTGGGTCCCACCAGGACTATGGTTACAAATGGGGGCACTTCATGGAACACATTCCTCATCTTCCCTGCTCCTTGGACCCCTGCCAATGCAGGGAGAGTCTCCTGTCCCTGTAACGTTTGGGGACCTTCCAGGATGGCTCCCAGACCTCCCCCAGGTCTGGATGGCTGCCTGACGTGAACCTTCTCTGGGTCATGCTGCTGTCTCTTGGGGTATGCCTGAGCCCACCGGAGCTCGCTGGATTCTCCTGATGGTTGCAGTTCCCGCTAGGGCTGGCCTTCCCGGGCGCGCACGGCAAGCTCTCCTGGGCCTGGCACTTCAGGCTCCAGAGTGTCACCTGGACACTGCTGTTGATCCCACCCTCTCTTCCTGGAGCAGTCCACCTTTCCCAAGGCACTGGGCAATGGTGTTTTCAACAAAGTGCAGGAGACACCCCTTCTAATGTGTTGTGTGAAGCAGTGCAAGGGTTGGGTGGTCCTTACAGCTTTTGTCCCTCTCCTTGCCTCTCCATGGGTCTCCAACATGAGTCCCTGGGGCTCAGGCCGTAAGCTTCGGTGATACCGTAGTGGTGGGCTCAGGCCGCCATGTCAAAACACCGCAGACGGGGGCGCTTAAACAACAGGTTTCTATTTCTCACGGTCCTGGAGGCTGGAAGTCTGAGGTCAAGATGCTACCTATTCTGTTCCTGGTGAGAGCTCCTTCCTGGCTTAGAGATAGATCCCTGCCTTCTCCCTGAGTCCTCGTGTGGAGGAGAGAGGGCTCTGGTGTCTCCTCCTCTTCTTATTAGGGCCCTGGTCCTAGTGAATTAGGCCCCCACCCTCATTGTTTTCATTTTTCATCTGCCATGTCTGACAAAGCCTAGTTGATAATGGCCTCTGCTACCCTCAGGCCTCCCCATGAGTGACTTTCCAGCATTTTCCACAGTGGAAACAACCAAGCAGCCTCTTCAGGACAGGCTCCCCAGCTTCATTTCCTCAATGGGCAGAAAGGTCTCCTAGGTCGCTGAAGACCGCTGTTGTCTCCACTCTGCTGCCAGGGATGACGTGTGAGTGGGGGCTTCTTCATCACATGGGAAGGGCTACCGAGTGGTGGGGCCACAGCTCACACAGCAGCCCCTGCCTGTTTGATCTGTGATCACAGAGCTTGGTAATGGGAACTCCTGAGGAGCCCCAAGCAAGACCCAAACGCTTTGTCCAGGCAGGAACCAAGTGTGGTAGTTCAGGTCCTGGTAGATGGGAGAGCAAAGTGCCCTGGTGACAGCTGAGCTCATCTCCTGATGGCAGCCTCCAGGTCACGCCTGGGGGTCACTAGCAGGACAGAGAAGTTTGCTTCCCAGATGCCCCTAAAAGGGCAACCATGCCTCTTGGGAGGCTCCAGGCAGCGGCTCTCAGCTTTTGGTGGCCCCCTGCGTCACTGGAGATGCGTTAAAGAGGGCAACAACTCTAATCCGGGAAAGCCTCTGGCTCCGAGGTGGCCCTGACTTGGGAAGTGGGGCGGAGGTGACAGACAGGGTCTCAGTGCCTCCCCAGGGGCGTGCACTTGTGGGCTCAGTATTTAGTGGCATTGCTTTGACGGTGGGTGGAAAGCAGCTCTGGGGCATCCGTAGGTGATGGCTGGGTCTTCCGGCTCCAGGTCCTCCTCTGCCACTTCCCTCTCCTGCTGGCTCTTTCCATTCAATCAGCTGATAAGAGAGTGTCTAATCATAACATTTACAAGAAGGAAGTGGCAGTGGGAGGAAGAGGGACACCACAAGCCAAATAAGTTGATACCCTTGACATCAATAAGGCAAGAAATGACTTTCAGTGAAAGTTGGCCCCCCCCAAGAATGCCGGATTCCAGAAGGAAGCAGAGGCAGAACCCAAACCTAGCGCCTCCATCAGCCCAGAACCTAAAGCCCTTCCTGCCCTCTCCACTCTGGAGGGCAGTGTCCGCTCACCCTCGGGGGAATGAAGGCTTGGGCAGCAGCAAGCAGGACTCGTGCGCGGTGGACGTCTGAGCGTCTGAGCCGCGTCCCCGCACCTGCTGATGCTCAGGTGACATCATGCTTCTCCTGGGGCCCACATGCACAGAACTCATCAGGGAGGTCAATGCCCAGAAGAAGACTTTTGGGAAAGGTGTGACCTAATTTAAATAACACATTAAGCTTAGAAATCATTGTAAGTAGATACTGAGAGACAAACTGAAGAATTTTAGGCCTAGGAAATAATCCCATCTTGGAAAAAATCTTTTTAAAGGAATTAAACTGCTGCATCTGGACTAGAATCTAGTCTTTCCTCATCCAAACAGCTCTATCTACCATACAGGGCCATGAGGTTTAGATGCCGAGGGAGCGGGGACTCGGAGCCCTGCCCTAACTCTCTGTATGAAGATGTCTGTGGTTTAGGGGCAGGAAGTTGTGGTGTCAGAATTGGCTGGACATTGAGAATGAAACGGAGACAGAGTAATGAGCGAATGTGAGCCTTCAGTGCGGCGGCCCCATGGGGATGTCCAAGCAGCCACGGGCAGCAGAGGGGTCTGGGAGTTATCAGCACACACATGCACGGCGGGATGGCATGTGATTATTACCTGGGCTTGTACACAAGTAACTTAGGCCTGGGATTTCCCCCCATTCAGGCTAGAAGCATTCATCTGGTATTGTCCCAAGGAGGAAAAGGATTATGAACAGAGAAACCAGAGGATGAATTGACATCAAGCTAAAAAATAGAAGAAACGGTTTGGCTGTGTGGCCCAATTATTTGCCAATGATTGCAGCTGCCTTTTTCCCTCCTCCTCATAGTGATGTGGAAATGAGCTGGAGGAGAAGCAAGAGAGTTAAAGACTCATTTCAGGGGCCCTGGCTCCACCAGACCACTTCTGGCTAAGTTCCTGCAGGAATGATCTAGTTTCAACCACATCAGTGGATCCCGGGCTGGAAGAATCTTATGCCTCCCTTCTGAGGGATGCCAGATAGACAGCTGGCCTAGGAGAGAAGTCAGGTGTGCAACAGAAAGGCAGCTGAGCTTGTGGGACCTCCCAGAGGCCCATGGACACCATGGAGATGAGGCTGGGTCTCCCTGTGGTCTGAAAGGGTGTGGAGATTGCCTGAGAAAGAGCCAGCTGGTAAGCCTTGTTGTCTGGGATGAAGGATGAGGGCGCCTATCTAAGAGCTGGATTGGCACATGGTTACAAGGTACACTGTAGGTGATGCCAGCACTGAAGGATGGTGATTGCCCAAAGCGAGCTGGAAGGCCATATTTCAGTGGGTGACAGCAGGTGATGCCTGATGAGCTGAAGGAGAAGGTGCTTCAGGAAGGAGGGGGGTCCCTATGCCTGTGTGTCCGGAGATGTCACCTGAGTCACAGCACTCACTGGGTGTGGAAGTGCTCACTTCCCTGGTGACCATAGCAGGGTTTGGAGGAATAGCAGGGACCAGAGAGGCAGTGATGGGCTGAGGCATGAGGGAGCTGAGGAAGATGAGACAGTATACAGATGACATTTGAAAGAACCTCTCAGTGGAATCACATAGATGAAGAAAGAGTTCTCTTATTTTTCAATTACAAGATATTTGGATGCACTAGTTTAGGTAAATAAATCAGTAGACAGGGAGAGACTAGAGATAAAAAGGAAAAGTGGATCACTGGCAAAGCCAGGAGGAGAAAGGCCCATGTGATAGCCAGGCTTCAAGATGGCCCCAGGGAGTCTTACCTCCTGCTGTTCACACCCTGGTGTGGGTCTCTCCAACACTGCCCTGTGTACCCCCAGAGGATATTAGGAAACTGAGGGAATGTCACTCTTGAGGTTAGATTGTATAAATCATTGTGGTTTCGACCCCACACTCTCTTGGATCACACTCTGGGGGAAGCCAGCCACCATGATGGGAGACCTATGGAAAGGTCCATGTGCCAGGGATTCAGACTTCTTGTCAAAAGGCAGGGAGAAACTAAGACTTGTTGGTACTAGGCCTGTGAGTAAGACATCTTGGAAGTGGACCCTGCAGCTCCAGTCAAGCCTTGAGAGGACTTCAATCCCAGCTAACACCCTGACTCACAAGAGACCTTGATCCAGAACCCCTAACAGCTAAGCGCTTCCTGAATTCCTGAGCTATGTGAGATAAGACATTTTTACTGTAGTTTTGTGTCACTAAGTTTCAGAACACTCTGTTACAGTCACAGACACCCAGTGCAAAGAAAATGAAGGTAGGTATAATCCTAGCAATGGAGATGCCAGGGAAACTGGCCTCCTTATGGTCCATGATCTCCACTACTTCTTTGAAGGAGAAGGCAAGCCCGTGTGCTGGGTTTTGGATGATGGAGGTTGGGGTGGGGGGTTTGCAGGTGATAGAAGAGAGTCAATACAACCTTTAGGAAGAAGAAAGGAGTCTAGCTGGTCAGACCCTCTCTGTGCCCTACCATGGTTTAGGGTTGGTATTGATGAAGAGGATAATGACCTTTGGGGAACAGGCCCCTGGTTCCCAAGGGTAGACCCTATTACCTGGTCAGTTCTGGGTGCAGGAGGCAAGCTGTTGGAATGGAAGACTTGGGGAAAGTGAGTGGCTGAGGCCAAAGGTTAAGGGAGGGGAGGCATGTTGAAAGAGCAGCTACCTCATCGTTCAAGAGGTCTGACAGTGACATAACCAGACAGAGAGACAGAATTAAGAAGTCTCTGTTCTGTTCTTTCCTTCTTTGTGTCCTCTTTCTTTTTTTTAAAGATTTATTTATTTACTTACTTATTTATTTATTTGAGAGAGAGAGAGAAAGAGAGAGAGAATGAGTGAGGGGAGGGGCAGAGGGAGAGAGAAACCCAGGCTCCCCACTGAGCGTGGAGCCTGATGCGGGGCTTGATCTCACAACCCTGAGATC